CCACCAAACTCAGGTATAAAAGAATAAGCAGCAGTACCTCTTTAGACCACACAAGCAGATGCTCTTGCACCTTGCCAATTGACAACGTTTTTCCAGTTCCTGGACATCCACATACATAAAGGCTGCCAGCTTTACTTTGTTGAATGCAGGCTTTGCAAAAATCAATGACCCTTTTCTGCTCCACTTCACGGCAGACCACATTGGCTGGTGGTGTTGCCAAATGCAGTGCTTGCTTTGCGGCTTGCATCTGCGCAGGGTCTGCAAATGATCGATCCCATGCCACATCTCAGAATTCAGATGGTAGTCAACAGAAGGAACGAGATGCGAAGATCACAGTATTATAAAAAAAAAAAAGGTGAATTAATTAAAAGAAATGTATCAACGCAAAATCACCAACGTAATTACTACGAATCTGATTACAAGGAATCACAGATGTCTGTTTAGATCAATTGCCCATAGATTCTCTAAGAAAGATGATCGCATGATACAACGGTTAAGGTAAATTTTCTGAAAAATTATAGAAATTAATTGTATAACTTACCTCTCGGATTCCACTTTGGCTTCTGATTAGAAGGACCAAAGAGTCTTTTCCTGGGTGATTTAGGCGAACCTAATTGCTTTCCGTTGGCAAGAGACCCGTTGTGCTGCAGAAGCACCAGTTCGGGAACGTGTGATCGCGTGGTGAGAAACCATCGACCACTAAATAAGGAATTAATTTGAATCTAAACATTGAAAGACCGACTCGCTCACATTTCCTATGCAGTTTTCTTCTCGATCACCGTTGCATCTGCGCGGGGATCTCCGTTTAGCCGGCTGCTGATCCTTGATCGGGCTTTCGCTGGCGCAATCAGATCTCGACCGTTTCCTGCTCGGTGTAGAGTCCGCCCTCGTCTTCGTCTCTCCTGGGACCTTGGCAGCTGGGGATCCACCGAGAGATGCGGGGCTTCGGTTCATGGTCATCGTAGGGCGCGTAGCGGAAGCAGTTGGCTGAAGAACAGAAGACGGCAACTCCAGATCTGCTTCTGCCTTCCTGATCGATCCAATGGGAAAGGGAAGAGGAGCTGAGGAGATGAAAAAGATTAGGGTTCTCGTCGTTTGCGCGGGAAATGGATGGAGCAGTCCTGTTTCTCCCGCCATGAACGCTTCGTTTTTGTGGCGGGACCGCAAGGGTGTAAACGGGTCGGATAATTTCTGATAACACCGTCAAATCCGGCCCGGAGATGGGGGAGGGGGAACTCATCCGTGGAGATTGGTTTGAGATCAGCCGTTGGGTTTCATCTAACGGCAGAAAACGCATCAAGTATGGCCATCCAAATGATACATGAAATGTAATATAGAGTCGGATCATGTCGTTACCGGATCGGATCGGATCGCCCTCCAACCCGGTCATGAGTCGGACGCATTCGAGACATCGCATCTGGCCCCTAATTAAGGATAGGAGCATAATTAAAATAGGCATAATAAATCCAAACGAACCAAATAATGTATCCAAATTATGAGCATCTGATATTAATAAATGTGCAGAGAACCAAGAAAACTCTTTTTAAGCGGATAAACAATGGTTTTGCATTTGCATACATTTTGAAGTGGAAAATTATAATCTTCATCGTAGTTGTTATCATGTTTTTAACTCACCGGAATTTCTTTTTTCTTTTCCCCTAAATTGCATGTATAGTGGAATATTTTTTAGTATTTTAATCAATCATTTCATATATTGAAAATGAAATGAATTTTTTGTAATAGAATTAAGTATAGAATCACGATGGGATGGAAAGAAGTTTACTCGAGTATATAAAAGATTTATGTCTTATATACTACGTAGACAGTTATGTCGAGTGCATTCGATGAGATCCTCGAATGAATAGGTCGGGTTAGGTTTATTTGTGAGTTAAAGACAATTTAATTTAGTTAATTTAGAATTAAAATATAGAAAGATAATTTAATATAATATTTTGTTTTATAATCATCATTAATTACATAATATCAAATACATTTATAATAAATAAAAATTTTTATATGTCAAGTTCGAGTGTTAATATTGTCATTTTTTTATTGGATACTGCATATTGAATAATTGTTATTTACTTTTTTTATTGTATTTTCAGGTTATGATTTTTATGTGCCTAACATAACGACGGTTGTTACTTGTATACAAATGTTTGGAAGGTCCCATCGAATACTTGGATACTAATATTATAGGCAAATACATTATTCATAAGATGTTTTACTTAATTATAATATATCGAATATTATAATCTGTTATGTATGAGAAAATGTTACACTAGTTAAGATGGAGATACCTAATCATATTTGACATTTATACGTTAAAGTGATCAAGAAATCATTATTTATGTTAAAAAAAATATTTATAAATTTTCTTCTCATCATTAATAACGATAAGTTTTTTCATATATAATATGAAAGAGAATCGTAAACTTTCCCTCTCATCATTGATGGTGAGAATGATAATCGCAAGCCACGGTTGAAACACTTAACCCGTTTCCTCGTCTGACAATAAGGGGGTGTGTTATCTATGTAATGTATCGATCAATCTTGACCTTGACCTACGAAAAAGAAGAGCTCATTCTAACCCTTTGGTTAGAAGGGGATCTGCCAACTTTGAAGCCCTTGTAAGTGACCAATTAGTAGCCACTTTTTCTCTTACGTAATAAAAACAAGTCGCAAAAAATTTGCAGGTCAGAGTAATATTGGCATACCAGCATTTCTCGATGAACACTATTAGATAGTGCCATAAGTTTGGCACCATATAAGAAGGAGATATCTTCCATCACTATAGGCAAGACACCATCATCGAGTGGAGGGGAAGATGAAGTCTTGTCTTGAGGGCATCACGAAATAAGCAAAGAGACCTCGATGTGAGATCGAATAGACGTTAATTGGGTCGGGGGACTTGTAAGTCGAACTCGATTGAGATAGAATACTTAGCTCGCAGGTGATCCAGAAGTGGTGCACTCACCACTAAATCGTAATTATGCAAGTTTTTCATAGACTCTAAGTCCTGAAGAACTTTCGGGTTCATAAGAACTGCCACTCTTGAGAAAAAGGAGGTCAGGACTTTCTCTACCCTTTAGTTGTCCAAAGATAAAATGTGAACCTCGACCGTCTAATAGTTGATAGATTAAGAGGAACTTATACGAGAAAATAGAGACATCTCGACCTGAGGAAATTTAGATGCAAAATAATAGAAGATAAAATTATTGTCAAACTAATATCGAGACGACAAGTGACTTAAAAACCAACTCACGTTTCAGGGAACCGGAACGGAGCAAAGAAGATTTTTAAGGAGGCCCTGGAGGCATAAATGGATGAATGAACCTCACCAATAAGATGAAGAAGGATTTATAGAGAGGAAGCCAACCTATTTCCTCTCATGATTGAGATAAGAGACATCGATGACTTAAGGATTCAAAAAGCATTGAAGAATGGATTCAAAACATGCTAGACGAAGGATTCAAAAAGTGCTAGATAAGAGATTTGAAACATACTAGACAAAAGATTCAAAATGTGCTATATGGGCTTATGAGGTATAAAAATCCACTATGACAAAGGCATAAGGCCAAATGCGCTTGAGGCGCGTGAAGAAAAATCTACCACGACGGAGGTACAAGGTTAAAAGCGCTTGAGACACATGAGTTAGGAAAAGCCAACATACGTGAAGAGAAATCTACTGTGATAGAGGTGCAAGACCAAATACGCTCGAGACGCTTGAGTTGAGAAAAACCCAACCCGTGTAAAAAAATAATTGGCCATGGCGAAGGCATAAGGCCAAAATACGCTTAAGACGCATGAGTCAAAAAAATCCTATCTGCATAAAAAGAAATCCATCATGGTGGAAGCATAAAGCTAAATATACTTTAGATGTATGAGTCAAGAAATCCCGACCAACACGAAAAAAAATTTGTCATAGTAGAGACATAAGGCAAAATGTGTCCGAGGCACATGTGTCGGGACAACCTGACCCATGAGAGCAAATCTTAAACACTCATATGTCATATGAATCAAATGTCGTACTTCAAGCCATTCTCAAAAGAGCCCTAAAATATGCTTTTGAGAGGGGGGGAGGGGACAAATAATATGAGATATATTATCAACTAATCATCAAATACGTCATCGCCACATAATGCTTAAAGAGAAAAGAGAAGGTAAAGTTTTATTCTTGACATTTATGATGAGAAAGACATTCAAAACTTCATTAGTACCCTTTATGATCATATATAAGAGTTCATCTTTTAATACAAAGAAATATATGATATTTTTATTATTCCTATCTATACGGATTATTAGTTTGTGTGTTGGAAAGATTAGAACAGGAAACACCTCAATCTCAATGCAAGTGACATCTAAGGAACTTCACACTCTCACCTCAGGGATATTTTGGATAGTCTTATAAATATAAATTTGACTCATGTCTAGTTAATTAAGATATTAATGATATTTTTCCTGAATACATTGGAAACGATAGATGGTTTACAATACTATGATGATTTGTAACTTTCTCGTAGACAGCCGACCTGCTCCTTCGACTTGCAAAAACATGAGAGGAGCACCGAAGGGTGATGACACCGAGAGATGGATTTAGGCTTATTTTCCATGGTTCTTTTTCTTCTCTCCCCCTGTCCTCTCCCCGTGGCGGTCTACACCCTTTAATGCTACTATCTTGGTGTGTCCTTCCAGGATACATTGTACCATGGCATGTTTTCGGAGGACGTCACTTTCCTTGCTCGGATGTGGGTTGCACCATTTTGATCGCAATGCTAACGTTTTCTGGATTAACATTTTGCATTTGTGTATAGAAAAAATGCGAAATATAATCATTCTCAGATGTTCAATAACAAAGTCAATTTGTAGGTCTAACCTTAGAATCTGCTGCCGTAAGGAAGGCACAATAAATTCCATCGCGAGGAGTAAGTGAGAGCTGCGCTTTTCTTTTCTTTAGAAAAATACTTTATTGCTCAACAACTATGTAGAAATCTTACAAAGAAGCTTATAATATAATCCCTTTTCAGTACGTGAAAGAGACTCCTTACGACAACAGAAACGTAGTGACCAATAGAAGCACATACAAACGAACAAATTGATGGACGAACGATGATCACCAGTAGCATCGTGGACGAAACATGGCGTTGTTGTCGTGCGGCTCTCCCGCCTTTAAGCAGCGACAGCGGTGGTGGTAGCAGTCGATGAAACACTCACTTGATCCGGAGACGGGCACGGATGGCGGGCGTCGTCGCCGTGGCTTCTTGGTCGCACGTAGACTCGAAGCCCGTTCTTCATGAAGAGGGTGAGGGACATCTTCTGCTGCACCCGGTGGCCCGGCACGAGCTCCAGGCGGTAGCGGAGCAGCACCGCTGAGGCGATGGACTTCATTTGGAGGTCGGCCAGATCCTTCCCCAGGCACGTCCTCGGCCCGCCGTTGAACGCCACGAACTGATATGGATCCTTGGCCGGCTCGAATCGGTCCCCCTCGGCCGACAGCCACCTCTCTGGACGGAACTCTCTGCAGTCCTTCCCCCATATCGACTCCATTCTCCCCACTGAGTAGATGGAGTAGGTGACGGTCGAACCCGCCGGCACTACGGTCCCGTCCGGCAGGACGTCGTCGGCGACCACGTACTTGGTGTCCTGCGGCACTGACGGGTACAGTCGCAGGGTCTCCTGCAGTGCCGCCTTCAGGTGCACCAGCCGGTCCAGCTCGTCGAATCTCATCGGCTCCGCTAACCACGTGGCTGTGTCCGGCCCGCGGGTATCCGTCAGTACCGCCGTCATCTCGTCCACAAGCTTCTTCTCCACGTCGGGCCGCCGCATTACAGTCCAGAAGAACCAGCTGAGGGCGACGGATGAGGTGTCGCGCCCGGCGAGCAAGAAATTGAGGGCGATACGCTGGAGAACCGAGGACGAGAAGGCGTTGCCGTCGGCGTCGCGCTTCTTCATGAACCGGGAGAGCAGGTCGTCGGAGGGGGCTAGCTTGCGCTCCGCGATGGCCGTGGCCATGTGCTGGTCGACTACCTCGAGGCTCTTCCGCAGCCTCTGTTCGCTTCCGAGGCGCAGGGCCTTCTTCAAGCGCCAGAAGAAGCCAGGGAACAGCAAGCGCTGGAGGGTGGCCTCGGTGGCAGCGTCGAAGGCCGCGGTAAAGGCGTTGTGGGGGAGGCCTGGGGACAGCGTCTCGGGGTCCTTGCCAAAGGTGAGACCGCAGATGTTGTCGAAGGTGAGGCGGAGGAGGAGGTCCTGGAGGTCGACGGCTTTCCCGTCACCGCAGCGGTCAGCAAGGATGCGCCAGAGGCGGTCCTTAATGGAGCGGTTCGTCCATCGGGCCATGGCTTGGCGAAGGGTGCGGGTGGTAAACTCGAGGGCGGCGGTCTTGCGCTGGATGAGCCACGTCTCGCCGTCGGAGTTGAAGATGCCGCGGCCGAGCAGGTCGTGGAAGGCGGCCTGCATCTGGGGGCCCTTGGGGTAGTTCTCGAAGCGGCTGCGCAGGACGTGCTCCAAGTTCCGGGGGTGGCAAGTGACCGTCACCAGCCCCTGACGGCGAGCAAGGAGAGGCAGCGGCAGGATGCAGGTCTGGTAGGTGGCAGCTTCGCCGGTGGCCCGGAGGTTGTCGGAGATCCAGTCGTGCATGCGGGCACGGTTGGCGACGAGACCCGGAAGGCTGCCAAAAAATGGCCACACCTTGGGGCCGTTCAGCCGCCGCGTGAGCGCCCAGAACCACGTCAGGTAGGTCGACACCGCCAAAGCCACCACGAGCGCCGCCAGCAGCAAGCGGAGGCTATCACCTTCTACTTGCCGCTGCTGCTGCTGTTGGATCGCTTGGATAATTCCTGCCATTGCCAAATGCCTTGTGGTTGTAATCGGATGGTGCTATATCAAGCACTGTCCGATGAAGATGGGAGCAATGTTCTCAGTGCTCGTGATACTTATATAGTCTCAACCAGCGCTGCGACGACAGAGGGAGTAATAAAGGGTTGTTGGGAAAGAAAACGAAGCAGAGCTTCTCTCACAAGACATTTCTTGCAGCGGCACCAGACTTCATAGGTCATACCAACCATGGAAGCAAGTCTCTGGACGAATTGTTAGACTGAGCAGGACACTGTAGCCTTGTAGAGTTGACAAGAAGTGAAGTGTCCCTCTGGTACACGATTTATTTGCACGGGGAACACTCAGACGACACCCTTTTCCTTTAAAAGACGGCTTTGAAAGAAAGAGTGCGCTTTGGTTGATCCGTCCAACCAAATCAAATCCGTGGGCCTGGAGAAAGGGGTGGTGAACCAAATCAAGGTTCTGGAGAAGCCATGAGCGAAAGGGTTGAGTATGAATGAGACAACCCAATCGTTTCACCTTTTGGTCTCAGCGGAATCGTATGAACTTAGAGCACGCAATTCGATGGTAGATTTATATGAACTCTGCTAAGCGAAACGTATGGAAGAATGTGCCATATGGAAGCATGGATTAAGTATCAAAAAATCACACACCACAAAAATACGGCTACAAAACGGTTCAAATGCGTCCGATAATGTCGCTTGAAGAATATGAATCACACGATTTCGCCGTTGCACAAATCTCAAGGCAAGGTGCAAGATAGTCTTTTGGGATTGCTGGGGGGTGCTTGTGAGCGTGAAGCATACGTCACGCAAAGTGGGATCCGACTCCTCTTCTACCTGTCCCGTCGTTGGACGCGTTCTTTGGCCCACA